TGCAACTTAATTGCGCTATAAGGAAATTTAATTGCGCCACAAGTTGCAACTCAATTGCGCCATTTTTTTTAATTGTGATGACCATCTTTATTTATCACAAATTTTCTCTTATAAAAAGTTTGCAAAAGTTATTTTAAAAATTTTATTATTAAAATGGTATTTTAAATTATAAAAGATTACAAACTAAAAAAAAGAATCAAATAATTTATTTTCTTAATTTCATTAAATTATTTTTAAGAATAAAAAACTAGATTTATGATTATAGTCAATCAGGAATTAGCTTTAATATTTGAAAATATGACTTTCTATTTTTTATTTTTTTAAATTTTTTATATATTTTTTTCTTTTTAGATTTGATCAGTTTTCTATCTTAGCTAAGATCAAATAAACCTTTTAAACAAAACCATCCAGTTTTTTATTACAGTAAAGATAAGCTAAATTTTTTTTTTTTTTTTCTTTTTAGGTTAAATTGGTTCTTTATTTTAGACTAAAAACTAAACAAATTTTTAAATAGAACTATCCATTCATCATTACAGTAAAGGTAAGCAGACTTTCTTTTTTTATTTTTTTGTTTTTTTCTATTTAAATTCTATTGATTCTTTAATTTAGGCTAAGAACTTTTGAATAGAACTATTTGATTTATTATTGTAGCAAAGATAAACTAACTTTTTTTTTGATTTTTTTTTTTTTCTTATTTTAGTAATTAATTCTGATTACTAATTATATTATATTTTCTTAATTTTTTATTTTTTATTTTTAAATTAGATTAGATTAGATCTTAATCAGTAATAAATATAGGTGACTAAAATTATTTTGATATATTGTTTTTTATTTTATTATTATTTTCACTATTATTTAATTAATTTTATTTTTTTTAGGTTAGATTGATTCATCACTTTAGTTGAAATTATCAATTTTAGTTACTGTAATATAGGTTTTTAACAAATTCTTTGATTTTATTAGTAATTATCATTACTTTAAATATTAGTAATTATAATCATTATAATAATTAATTATTATTTTTTTATTTTAGTTTTTTTACAAAATTACATAATAAAAATTACAAAAAAATTTTCTTTATTATTCATATGATTCTTCTATCCCAATTTTCTTTTTTTAAAAAATCATATATAAACAACTTTTAAGAAAATTTTAAGAATGATATTAAAAAGCTATAAAACATTAGTTTAATTAATTTTAAGTCATGATATTTTCAAGTTAAATAATGAAAAAAAACAAATACAAGTAAAATTACAATTGGCTATTTTTCTGCATAGAATTAGAAGTAGTTCAGATATTTTTAATATTTCTTCAAAATTTAGTATTAGAGAAAAAAACAGTTATTTTATATACAAAAAGAATTATTAAAGCTATTATTATACAAAAGAATTTATTTATTTAATATCTAAAAGGAAAAAAAAAATCATGTATATAGAAGCTTTTAATTAATAGAAGGATTTGAAAATGTTATTGGTGTTGTAGATGGTATATATATCTTTTAACTTATCAGAATTATACTTTAATAAAAAAAAATGTTATTTAATTCATTATCAAGAAATTGTAGATTTTTAGGATATTTTTATTAATTAAGATTTTAGATGGTCAGATTCTGTTTATGATACAAAGATTTATAAAATTCAAGCTTTTATAAAAAAAAAAAAATTAATTATTGATGATGATTTTTTATTTAGTGATTCTACATATCCATTTCTTTATTTTTTATTATTTCTTTTTATTTATCTTCAAATTTGCAAGAAAAAATATTTAATATTATGCATTCATCATATAATGTTATAGTTGAAAATGCATTTGGTTGTCTAAAATCTAGATTTATATGTTTAAAAAGATGTTCTGTTAAAAAACCCAAACATTTAATTTTTTTATTAATTATGCTATTATTTTACATAATTTTTAGAATTTAATGAAGAGAGATGGAAATTAAATTTAGATAATAAAGAGGAATAAGAAAATATTATTGATGAAAGTAATAATAGTAATAGTAAATAATATATTAAAATTAGAAGATCAACAAAAAAAAAATAATATGATGAGAAAATATATATTGTAATTTTTTTATTATTAGTAAAACACTATTAGTTTGATACATTTATATATTTATATTTCAATTCTTTTAATTGTCTTTTATATTCCAATTGTAACTTAAGTTTATCTACTTCTGCTTGAGTTTTTACTTTTTCAATTTCAAGTTTTTATTTTTTCAAATCCTTTTTCATTTTAAGTTCTTTTTCTTGTAATTCATATTTTTTTTTTCACATTTTTTCTCTTGATAAACTCATTACCAAAATATCATCACCTAAAGAATCAAAAGTTATTTTTTGTTTTTTGTTTTTTATTTCAGTTTTTTCTTATTTCATATTCATTGAATCAATATTAACCATTGTACTATCAATAAAAAACTTGATGCAGTTGTTTCTTTATGGCCAAAAATTTCATCTAATGATCATATAATCTCCAATCAGTTCTATTCTTGAATATGATAAGAAGTAGTTCAATTTCATTATCTTTTCATTTTGTAATTTCTGATTTACACTCTTTTGCATTTTCTTCAGACAAAATTACATTTGATGATGATGCTTTCTTTTTCTTGTTCTTTTTTGTTTTCAAAGAATCATTATTATTAACTTTTTCCTAAAAATTAAGTGCATAATTAACTATATATTTTTAAATAATTGTTTGTACATTCCTTTTTTTTAAAAAAAAATTAAAAGTTGAACCTTTGTTAACAAAGATTGCTCCTTTTCTGTATCCGAATTAAAATAAGGATCCATTACATAATTATAAACTTCTTTGTGGCTGTTGTGGAATTTAAGAATATAAGTGAATTTTGTTGTAAAAAGTTAGGAGGTAGAGGTGGATTTTGTGGAGCTTTTGGAAGTAAAGGTGGAAGTTTAGAGGACCTTGAGAAGGTCTAAAAAGTAAAGGCGAAATTTTTTGAGGATTTTTAACCTGTTTTTTTGAAGTATTATTTGGGTATTGTTTTTCAATTGGAAAATTTTATTGCAAAAGTGTAAAAAAAAAAAAAACGCGTAAGCCCTTTATATGCCATGATTTTACGATAGTTCGCGACGATAAATTAAAAATGAAAAAAAACTGAAAAAAAAGAAATTTTTGATTGGCTCCTAGGTTCATTAAAATATTTGCATCAACTACACCTGCTATTTTGCTGGTGCGTTTGGTGCAGAATCCGATTTTGCATCAACCGAAATTGAAAACCCCTAATTGACCAATCACTTCGTAGATCGAATCGAATTAATTTTTGATGTGCCGGTTATTTTCGAACTACTTATAAAAGATTCATGATTTATATGAGTTGGAAATATTTAAATATTTTAAACGTAAAAGTAATTTTTTTCTAAAATTTTGTCTTAAATAAATCTTTAAACTATAATTTATATCTTATGGATCGTAGGTTATGTGCTGTACATAACTAATATAAAAGCAAATTATATTCTATTGGCCTTTTAACTTTCATTATTATACTGTATATTTCAGGAACATAACATAAGTCTAGTATAAAAACCTCATGATGAATTCTTTCCTGCTGATGAAAATTATTATTATTATTATTCTTAAAATCTGAAATTTTGATTCAAATTGATCAAATAATTCGGATCGTCA